ATGAATGTTCCCCCTTTATGTGTAATCGTGATATAATCCATGGACGGATAAAGGTAATAAGATTCTACAAACATTATTTTTTTTCTGTGGCGCTACAGCCCCAATTTGGGCCTAGGCCTACCTCCATAAAGCTCTCCGTTTCACTTCGGTTTACTAGATCTTACACCTTCGGTAGGACTCCTTGGGCGAGTGATCAGCTCGTCGCAAGGCCTCTACCTGTAGACAAACAGAAAAACGCACACAAACATCCATGCCCTGAGTGGGATTCGAACCCACGATCCCGGCTTCCGAGCGAGCGAAGACAGTGCATGCCTTAGACCGCTCGGCTACCGTGACCGGCTCTACAAATATTATAGCCGCTGTAAATTTCGCTCGAAAGTTAAATTAATAAAAGCCGTAAAAAGTTAAGGCCATCCCTTTAACATGCCGTGGAGGCCTATAGGGTTGTGAGACGTCGAAGCTCACACATTTTCTAGACGATCGACTCACAGATGGGGGTGAGGTTGTCAGCCTTACGCAATAGCCACCCTCTACTCCCAGGGAGATTCCTGGTACTCATTTCTGTTAGTGGCTGAGTCGACCCCTGAGCCATCGTGCGGCTGGAAGGATTAGGTTAACTGAAAAAATTCAATGACCTCATCGGGAATCGAACCCATGACCTTCCGGCTTGTAGCATAGTGCCTCAACCAACTAGACTACCGCGTCTAAAAACATGAAGGACAGTGGAGTTATATCTCCACGCATTCTTTATCTTGACAGAAGGTTGAGGTGGCTGGATAGCGTCAGAAATGGGCTCCCGCTACCCATGGGGCAGGAGGGTGGGTGGGACCCACAACCGGTGTTCACGGTGTGGGGAAGAGAAACATCTCAGTTCCAGCCGGAAATCGAACTCCGATCCTCCGGTCTTCCACCTTGTACGCTATTCACTGCACTGATTAAGTTATCCAGGCTCATCCAAATAAATAAATAAACATGGCGTCAGTTTTTATTCAAATTGTAAACATGATATACATACATCCCCAGTAAATAGTTATTCCGTTTAAAGTAGGGCAGTTTTATTAAAGTCGTATTTTATTGCATTAGGTCATCCGCTGGATTGCTTATTGTGGACAAAGTTTCATACGTTCCGTATGACAGAACCAGTTCTGCAAGAGTCTACATTACCGAAAGAGCTCAAATAAAATAAGAAGGGTCTAGAATTGATAGCTACTGCCATCTGAGTTGAAATCTTTACAGATGGTTCAAAATATTGAACAAGATTCTCACTGACCCTGACTATATATTTCAAGGTTAACGCCCTGTGAAACTATATCACGTGATATTTAATGACATTACTATTGTTACGTAGAAATGGTGACGGGAAGTTTGGGTTTCTCAGTTCCTGGTGCTCTCTGGCGACAAGTTCTGTGAATCTCTGCTGCTGGACCTGCTGTACAGAGGAAAACAAGACGCCGTGAGCGGCATACGTCATGTGGATACGTGAGTACGGTTTCTTTTACTCAGCTTCTAGCAGTGTCCGGCTTCAGGGCGTTGCATTAAACGTGTGATTTGTGTTTATATCTATCGACAGAAACAGATACAAGTAGTACAACTTAACGCGACCTTCGTGTTGCATTACTTTCAAACTTCTTTGTATGATAAGTCGAACTGTTAAACAAAATTACATCTTATTTTAGTTTCTGTCACTGATTTATTTAACAATGCTCTCAGTAGCTCGGGTTGTATGGTGTCGAATGAGAGGGTTATACGTGAATTCGAAAGGATATGACCTAATGTTAGATACAATCTTGGAATTTGCCAGGAGATACTGAGTAAAATGATGAAAGACGTAAGTAAGGTCAGTCGGTGTCATGGCCGAGACTCGAACCGGGCATCTGCCAAATAAAACTGGGGAGTGTTACCGCTGGAAGTAACTTGTTCGGTGTTATAGGTTTGTATGTGCGAGGTAAACAATTTGCATTAAGTGAATAGTTTCAAACCCCACTAAAGAAATTATCAGGATAGGGTCAAACAGAGGACACCTTTAAAATTCCATTTATGTGAATTCTTTACGGATAGAGTGTATATGTGGGCTGAATTACCTGTGAGTCACAAATCCGGCACGGATAAGTGATCATGTTACATCAAAGTTCCGTTTCTTTGAAAGAAGATTTCTCCAGTCGAATTATTAACAACTACGGAAAGAAGCTCCGGCATTGTGGACTAAATTAACGAATTAGTTAATTACAGCAGTGCTCGGGAACGAGTGTAACAAATCGAATGGGGGAGAAAATGATTGTATATACGATATGGGTGTGAAAGCCAGAAGGAAAGAGACCACTAGGAACATCAAGACGTAGATAGATGGATAATATTAAAATGGGTGTTAGAGAGATAGGATGGGATGGTATGGACTGGACTGATTTCGCTCAGAATATTGACTAGTGGAGGGCTTTTGTGAACACGGTAATGAACTTTCGGATTCCATAACATATTGGGAAATTCTGGAGTAGCTGCACAACTGGCAGCTTCTCAAGAAGGGCCGAGCTCCATGGAATGAGTTAGTGTAAAAGTCGATGAAATAAGAGCAGTTTAAATTCCGTTAACTGTCGCTACCATCCAGTACAGAATATTTTGTCTTCTCATGTGGTACCGCATGTCGTTCAGACCGACTCTGGGGCTCACCAAACCTCCTATCCAATGGGTACCGGGGTTCTTTTCCTAGGCGCAAAGCTACTGGAGCGTGAAGGTGGCCAGTCGCCTCAAACTAATGCCGAAGTCATGAGAATGTGGCCCTATACATCCACTCCTCCATGCGCCTTCATGACGTAGTGAATAATTAATTAAGCACAGGGACAACTTTACCTACTTCTTTACCACGTAGTACCTAAAAACGTAAGAACTGGAGTATAGAGAATCATAATGTTATCTGTTCTTGTGTACGGGTATGAAACTTGATCTGTCACATTAAGAAAAGAACATAGATCAAGGGCATATCAGAACAGAGTGGCTAGGAATCGTATTTGGGCGTAGAAGAGAAGACGTAACAGGGGGCTGCAGAGAGTTCATAATGAGGAACTGTAGCAGTTCACATCAGGGGACGGTTAAATTATTTCTTTTTGTATGACCAGGGTTCTGTGAAACTCATTACTGTCGGCTCACTGTTGGATATTTCCTTTTGGATATGTAGGAGGTGGCGTGGGACAAGCTTGAAGCCAGCTGCACGCCAGTAACTCGGTCAAGTTAATGCGTAACACGAGACAGGGTTCTTTAGAAACTCTAAAATTTGAATGGTATGGTAGTCGTATAAGGGTGTTCCTGGATACATGCTACCCCAAATTGCAGTCTGACAGATATGTAGCAGGTGGCTGAGTTCACCCCCTAAACTCTAGCCGATAGGTATTTTTTAAAATTGTAGGAGACAGATTAAGCAGCCTCCCGGCTTGCCCGGTCTAGCCAGTCAAAATCTGAAATAGGACGTCCTTCACCTGAATTTTGAGTAACCAGGGCAAATGCCTAACTTCATAGACGTTGGCTGGGACTGCGAAAATCACACTCACTGGGGATACACATGCTTGGTACACCTCCGATCGCCCGTTTTTTTTTGTTTCTCTCAAATTATTGTGCCTTTGTCATCAGTAACAGGGCCGAAATTCAGTGACGAATTAAGTTAACTACTACTGTGCACTTATTCCATTATTAGTGCCATAAAAATATATACCTTGAGAACTGCCATTCGATGTTGTTTGTATGCTACTGGTTCTACACCTGAGTGTCCCCTTAATCATCACAGTCACGGCCAGTTAACACGACCTGAGAGGAATCAGATTTCATTAACAGAGCCAGGACATTACAAGAGTGACTACAGAGGGAAATTAGCGCAACGCACAGCTGAACAAAGAAATAGAAATTGGAAAATCGGGGAACGAACGCAGGTTTGAATTGTTAAGTTCCGCGGTAAATAAGCTGAAAGTCGAAGGAAATCCCATTCCTTGTGTTTCGGAAGTAACACAAATCATGGAAGTAACTGACGCCGTTCATGTCTCTTCCACTCCGCCGCCCTCTGCTAATCCGGATAATCTGGCTAGAACAGGGAATGTGTCTTGCAGTTGTGATTTGAATTCGTGTAATGTGTGTGTAAATGGAGGGGCGATCTTATGAGGATGCCACTGTGCTTGTACGCCGCCACTCAACTAACAGTTATTTGAATTACGCCGACTTACCTTTGCCCCAGTTTGAAGATAACTCGATAGTTTGTGGCAGCGGGATTGAGGACTTATGTAAAGAAGAAGCGGCCGTTCTTAAGGAAGTTGAAGTAGGAAGAATAGAGAGTTGCCTGCTCCAGCCCATCTCCATCCAAACATCAGAACCCGACCTCCCTGACTCACGCTCGGTAAAGGAGGCAAACTTTTCCGCTCTGATCGAAACGAATGACAATGTAAATGAGTCAAAAAAGGAATGCGTGGATAATATATTGAGCAGTTATATGAAATGTTTCAAAGCCAAACCTGGCAGATGTCACAATTTTGCGTATAGATTTCAGGTTGACGAAGATAAAATTGTAGTTGGGTATTCTCTCCCTATCGCCTTCGCTGTTCGCCCCGCCATTACGGACCAGATTAGACCGATGCTACAGGACATTCTAGAAATTAGTATTTCACCACTACTTAACCTTTTGATATTAATTTTTAAGGAAAGCAAGAAAACTAGGATTTGTGCGGACGCTAGGTAGGTGAATCAGTATACAGTCCGATAGAGAGCGCACCACACCCTTAACAAGAATTACTGCAGAAGTTTGAAGGCTCGCAGTTTATGACCACGTTAGAGTTAGCCTCTGCGTATTTGCAATCAGGAATCAGATTTCTCTACCAGAGCTGGGCCATTACAAGAACGGCCACGTGTACATCTCACAAAATATTATTAGAAAGATTATATAAGAGAGTGTGACAGGTAGCACATGAATACCCTTGGAAGAGAAGGAAAGTTCACATAAATTTTAGTATGGAAATTTAAAGGGGTGAACCCACTAGGAAGACCCAAGTGTAGATAGGAGAACAATATTAAAATGGATCTTAAAGAAATAGAGTGAACCGTATTTATCTGCCTCAGGAGAAGAAAGAGTGGCAGGCTCTTATGAACATGGTAATGAGCTACCAGATTTCCTAAAATGCTAAGAATTTCTTGAGTAGGTAAGTAACTTTCTTAAGAAAGACTATTAATCGCAACTGAGCTTTCTATATGCATATGAAATCGCAGAGTTTCACATCCTTCAGATATAAGAGTCGGTAAATTTCACATAAGAGGCGACAAAACTGGCCCCCCAGAACAGGTTAGTTGATCAGTGGGCGCCAAGGGGCGACCCGGTTCCCGCTATCACCTGCGGTGCCTGTGTATAGTAGCATCTCGCTGCCAGGACGTGCACAAGTTTTTCTTTCCTGTCGCAAGAAAGTAATCGTGTATAACCGGACAGATTCGTCTGTCTTGGTATCTTTATATCTATCTACCTATAGCTCTACAGTCCTTCTGTTGGACCTTCGCCGTTTCTTCAGTTTATTAATCGGCGGGACTCCCTTGAAGGGGGATCAGCATGTCGCAAGGCCGCTGCCTACACACAGAAAACACAAACACGGAATAAACACACACAGACATTCATGCCTTGGGTTGGATTCGAACCCATGATCCCAGCGTCCGATGTGAGCGAAGACAGTTGATGCCCTAAACCGCGCACCTCTGATGGGCAAAAATTCCACTGTTTTGGCGTGGGATTAAACTCCAGCCCTCTGGCATACCAGCCAACTGCTCTGCCACTGGCCTAATTCTTGTCATATCTTAGTATTTACTTGCGTTGAAATGAATGTCTTTCTTAGCCTCTTTCCTTGAGGAAAGAACTCAAGGTGACGAGATCACTATGTTCTCTGTACGTGGGTCTCCATTTTCAAATTTTGAGACAGTTAACTGATTTTTTGATACTTTGTATGAACCTTATTCTATTACAGGCCATCCAAAACTCTGACTTATTAATTTCCTGTAGTGAGTGACAACAGAGTAGAGGACGCGAAACTCGTGACACGGGAAAGACATTGAGCGTCACTTCTTGTAAAAAAGAAAAGTAACAGGCCGTGGAGCTCCATAGCTCCCACATTTTGTAGACAGTTCGCTCACAGATGGNTCACTTCTTGTAAAAAAGAAAAGTAACAGGCCGTGGAGCTCCATAGGGTTGTAAGACGTCGAGGCTCCCACATTTTGTAGACAATTGGCTCACAGATGACAGTGAGGTTGTCAGCCTTAAGCTCCGACCTGGCGCCATTTACCCCCAGGAATACTGTTGGTACTCATTTCTGTTAGGGGTTGAGTCGATCCCAGGGCGCTAGAAGTTTTATGTAGAATCCCGAAATTCTGTAGAGAAATAAAAAAAAAAGCAAGTTTTATTAAGGTAATGTTTTCTGTATGACAACGATCCTGATAGAATATGTTTGCTTTATATTCCATTCCGGTAACCAATAAACTGTTGGAGCTAGTCACGTGAAATTTCTGTACATACGTACACCATTTTCATTATGGCGTCCATAAGGGCCCACAACTGGTCTCTATCCCGAGGCAAACTAATTCAGTTCACATTGTCATAATGTCTTACTTTAAGATCTGTTTTAGTATTAACCTCTCATTCACGTCTTCGTCTCCCAAGTGGTCTCTTCCATTTAGGCTTCCATGAAAGAAAAAAGTATACATTTACCGTCCCTCATATGCGTACTACATGTCCTCGTCAATGTCATCCCATTTGATAATTCTAATTCAATTTTGTTGAATAGTAAAATTTGTGAAGCTCCTAGTTAAGCAGTTTTCTCCATCCATCTACTACCTTTTCTTCTCAGCACCCTGTTCTCAGACACTCAATATATGAGACGTGTGAACTAGTGAGGTTCTCACTACAGTGACTGTAATGAATACTGCCTTTAAGAATACACGCCATGCAGTTTGACAACAGTTCCTAACTTCTCGGATGAATCTGATGTTCCTAACTCTTCTTTCTGGAAGATGGAGGTAGCAATTCATCCGAAATGATGGTATGTATGTATGTATGTATGTATTATGAGAGGGGGTGGGTTTCCCCATGCACTTAGACCAGTTATTGATCCATTGTGCTTCCCCCTTTTTAATTTCTACTGTCGCCATACCCTACCGGTAACGGTGCGTGCCATCAGCCCCCGTAGAGCCAACGAGGTCGGCCCCCGGTACCTTGATGCTTCCCCCATCCACCAGAGGCATTGGAGACTACTTGGGCGGGAAAGGGCCTGTAATTTAGCTCAGAGGTCTCCTAGAGACATGAGGTTCTTTTACGTGCCGTAAATCTACGACACGGAACACACGGCTTAAAGTCCCTCCCTGAATTTTTCCACCCTTAAAAATTCCACGACCTCCGCCGGGTTTGAACCCGCGTACCTTGAGTCATGAGGTGGGAACGTTACCCCTAGACTACGGAGGCCGCTGAAATGATGGTAACTATCAGAAGAATGCACAGCATCACATCCCGAATGGCAGTAATTTCTTGTCTACAAGTTCTTGCCTTAATGCGAGGGACCGCATTTTACATCCATACGTAACAACAGGAACAATTATAGTTCCATACATTTCAGTCTCTGAAGTAGTAGATGGCAGACGGAAAGACACACTGACCTACGGAAAAATAAAACTTAAAAAAAAAAGTACATTGATCTGGAGTAATGAGCAGTTCTTGGGTTCCCTGCCTTTCTGAAAATGTATGGATCCACGAGTTTAGTGTTCCTCAAACAGTGGGATGCGTTCCAATAACAGCACTTGATTGTCAGCAAGTTGGTGCATGAAATATTGAAAACAAAACCTTCCATTAATGATTAACATAATATTAAAATATCTGTAATTATAAAAATATACTTCTTGAGGGAAGAAAGATAAGCAACGGTGGGACTACGAACTGTTTTCACAAAAATTGCTCGGTGAAACGCGAGATACAAAACAAGAGAATCGTTGAATTATGCCTGGGTTATCTGCATGATTTAACTTGCCCGTCCTCCCTCACGTGGACCTGGCAAGATACTCATAAGTTTCAAGTTCTGTGATAACATGCGTGAAGCTTATGGCACAGGCTGCAACTTTCAGGAAGCTTTCACAGAATGAATTCAGAAGCGGTAACAATCTGAAGACAGCTTGTAGCCTGCCTTGTCGTAGCCGGACAGAAATAAAGTCACGAATAGTCTTTAATATTCGAGGGAATTCCAGTCTTTTAATATTCAAGGCAACCAGCATCGTGACGTATATATGACGTCAGAACACTACAACCACATTTTTTTTTGTAAACAATAGCATGGCGGTCATGAAGGGAAGGTTTGCTCTATCGATACAGTTCAGATTCAGTCTATTCCGGTGGTAACGGTCTTCATGGGACGACTGGTCGTGGGTCTGAGGCAAAGTGGGGTCGTATGTTCTAGTGACATGCATAAGTGTGTGACATATTTCATTACCGCTAATCACCTTGCCCATCGCGACTTTTAACTAGCTTCCTGTTGCAGTTTCCACACACGCCCGCAAATATACGTTGACAATAAAATCTTTGGTTGGGGGTTATTCCTGGAATAAGCAACACACACGAAACAGTAAAAGCAATAAGAGAGAGAGAGAGAGAGAGAGAAGCTGACAACTCACTGAGCTATTATAGACACTGCATGCTATTTAACGATATAACGGCACCGTAACAACTGCTTGAGTTACTTGGTATAGAATCAGATGACTTACAGTGAAATGAAATTCTGTATTACACAAGTAGTTTATTTGGCCTATTGTACCAGCCCCGGATGTTGGATGATGATGAAGTATTTGATGAAATGAGAATTGGTAGGGGAAACCGAAATACTCGAGGAAAACGTGCCTCAGTGCCACTTTGTACACCAAAAATCTCACATTACCTGACCTTGAACTCGAGCAGCCGGCGAATAACCGCCTGAGCAATGGCAAGGTCCTTGAAGTAAGGTAAACTAAATAACTGATTCCATGAGCAGAGTAATTCTTGTGAAACTGTTGCTTGTTCGCGTGTTCCAGAATCTCCTCGCATTTTACGAAAATCGAAGGTTCACTGCCGCATTCATAGCAGCCTTCCACTGGGCCCTATCCTGAGCCAAATGAATCCACTTCACAAACTCGCACTTTATTTCTTTAAGATCCATTTTAATATTATCCTTCCATCTATGTTTGGTAGTTCTAGTGGTCTCTTTGTTCTTCAAGTTTGTTCACCATAAATTTGTGACTACTTCTCTTCCATGCGTACTATGTTTCCTACGCGTCTCGTCCTCCTTGACATGATCATTCTACTGTCTGGAACCAAAATGTCGGTGGGCGAGCAAAGTGGGGAAGGCGTACAATTTGCCATGTGCTCGTAGAGCGACGGGGGAGGGCCGAGCCCATTGACATGTCTAGTCCGACAGTATCACTCGTAATATTTGAATAGGAGTACAATGTATGAGGTTCTTGATTATGCAGTTTACCTTGTGTTTCATTAATTAAGGATCACGCCATGAAAACATACTGGTGAGTGGAGGTATATCTCCTTCATTCTTGACCGGTTAAATTCACACACAGGACACTTTGCCCTCGGGACAAGAGTCCCCTGTACCCATTGGATATACTTTATTTGTTACTCTTGTTCCCAAATATTTGAACTTTTCCATATTTTCAAAAGATTCTTCAGCTATTTTTAAAACAAGAGTTCGCTCTCCGTTATCGTATTTTCAAGACATAAACATATATTTCCTTTTTAGTGTTTAGTTCTAGAACCATTTCCTTACTAGCATATAATGCAGCGGAACTTCTATATTTATCTTCATTGCATTTATTTGAACCATTAAATTTAACATCGTCAGCTTAGAGCTGAAGCTGGTGTGTCCTATTGTACCGTTTTCGTTTTCTTGGACTTTCTTGATGACGAAATTAAAGAGGAATGGGGACAAAGCATTTCCTTTTTCTACACCATTGTGAACTGTATATGTATCAGTCGTCTGAAACAAGCTACGTATTAACCGAGACTATGAATACTTAATTTGTGTCAATGTTTATTTAATGATTAATGCTGTTTTGGGAAATAATCACTGTTTATTCTGAAAATCCTAAGAAGTCCAAAAATAAATTAAATTTTTATGTACGTAGGAGAGTCAGCAAATAGGTCACAAATGGATATAAAACGTAAAACGTCTGATATTCGAACATGGGGAAAACAGTTACTTCTGGACATATCCTCCACCACACTGGATACACTTGTCCCATCACGTTACCAGTGTCTCAGCCACTTCCGCACCTCCGTTTCAAACTCTTCGTCATCAGCGAAACGTTTGCCAGCCAGCTGTGAACCGTTTTACGCGCCAAACACTTCCCACTTTAAACAGGAAACATTTCTTTATGAACATCCTTTGCATTGAGCCATTTTGCCCACAGAAAACACAACAGAACACTGCTCTTCAGCAGTATACTCCTCAAGCATGGTCGCCATTTTAACTACTGAAACCAGTCTCTGAACATGCGCACGCGCGTCTGCTACTTAGACTGTCATGAAGCTGGACTGTGCTGCTACCTAGTGATACGTATAGAAGATCTATTTGGTCCATTACAGATGTTTTACTTCAATTTGTGACCTAGTTACTGACTCTCCCTCGCATGTGTATTAAGCAGTATGTTTTAAAGAGTTAAATAAGCATGAAATGATATGTACAGGTACGTGGGTGGTGCCCGTTGTGGTGCTCTGTCCCTGGATGTTGGCGCCGACGGCAGGTATCGACAGCACCGCAAGTCAAGAGATAGCCGACGCCTCAACATCGTTCTCACTAGAGTTACTGAANGTTGATGCTGTCGGGTGTAGGGGTGACTATTGATGGGGTTTTGGTTTGTATTTTATATTTATTAATCTCGCGGTCGCTGCATAGTAACGGCTCTACACGCCACAGTATGTATCATGGCATCTGAGCCCATCTCAGCGGTGTGCTTCATAAATCCCTTCCATCAATCTGTCTAAGTTGCTAGGCAACGGCTCGGTAAAACGTTACCGTGGCAACGAATACACACGCAACAATGGAAGAATTACTGGGCGCGTCTTTTATAAGTATTTGTGATCCGATTTTTATCAGAAGAGAGTCTGTGGCTTTGTCTTTAATGCTGAATTGTTACCCAACCAAGTTGCACTGCGTTATTCACATGCAGCCCCCCCCCCAATGGTAACATCGAAATTTCGCCCTAATGTAGCCCTTCCAACGTGATATAAAAATGAATTCTGATCATACGCAATAAAACCCCGGCTCAGCCTCTTTCTTTCAGGCTTCATATCTTTTCGCTCCCTGAAGCTTCACCCTCTTTCATCTCAAATATACCCCTACCAGAAGGCCGAGCGGGTACTGCCTGGGAACCTTCAAAACCGGAGATTAAAACAAAATATTTGTTGCCCACTCAGAAGTATAGTTTCTCTCATTTCCCATTTTCTGTCCTCTCTCTTTGTGTATCCCCTGTCGTTGCCAGGCAGCGGTTCGGTAAACACGTTCCCGGAGCAACGAGGCGTCGTTTTCTACGCTGTCCGCGTCGTATTAAAGGAAAGTAGGCCATTAGTTTTCCCAAAACTATTTTTTCTTCCATGTTCCATAGTGAAAAATTTTCGGTGGTGTCCGTATTGCGAACGGGTGCATCTACCCTATTTAGGAAAGAAATTCATCATGAAGAAATTCCCTTACATGCACCATAAACACATACACTTTTTAGTTGCTCTGTTTATCGTTTATGTAACTAGAATTTCAGTAGCTCACAGTAAACAGTGTAGAATGGTAGGGTAATGATAGACGAATTAAAAAGGATTTAGAAGGAAGGTACTACAATCTCGTCAAATGCCTGGAGGGTCTGAGGAAATTCACGAAAAGGCTGTCAAGATAGCTGGTATCCCCGCCGAGATTCGAACCGAAAGCCTCACGAATATGAGAGCACAGCGTTACCGACACGGCACCCCTCCTGTGTATGCGGTAACGCATGTATGGGTTCCATAAGAAGTGGGGAGTGTCAGAGAGTATTACATCACGGGCTCCTCGAATGGGATGCCGAGTAGTTTCGTAGATAAATCAACTAACTCCATAGAGCTGAGCACTTCTTGAGAAGCCGCCAGTTGTGCAGCTAATCAATAATTTCCCGACATTTTATGGAATCTGAAGATTCATTACCGTGATCACAAGAGCCCTCCACTGGTCTCTATCCTGAGCCAGACAAATCAAGTTCATACCATCTCATCCTATCTCTCCAAGATCCATTTTAATATTATCCACCCACTTATGTCTTGGTCTTCCCAGTGGTCTCTTTCTGTCTGGCATATCCTATATGCATGTCTCTTCTTTATGCGTGCTACATGCCCCCCATCGCATACATTTGGACTGATCATTCTAATTATACAAGGCAAAGATTACAAATTATGAAGCTCATTAAGCAATTTTCTGGACAGATAAGATAAAAAGATAGAAATCTCTTTAAACACACGGATTTTTTTTTGTGTAAGGTTGCCTGTTGAATCAGAATATTCCAAACTATAATTCTGTATATCGGCATCCTGTTGCAATTGTTGCATTAATGACGGACTGTGATATACATACATGTTCCAACCTATAATTTTGCCTGTGATTCTGTATGGGCGTAAAACTTGTTCTCTAACATTAAGGGAGGAACATAGACTGAGTGTGTTTGAGAACAGGGTGCTGAGGAGAATGTTTGAACCGAAGAGAGATGAAGTGACAGGAGGTTGGAGAAAACTGAACTCTTCTTCAAGTGTAATTAGAATGATCATGTCAAGGAGGATTAGATAGGCAGGACATATAGCATGAATGGAGAGAAGAGGAATGCGTATAGGATATTAGTGGGAAAGCCAAAAGCCAGACTATATAGACAAAGACATAGTTGGGTGGTTAATCATAAAATGGATCTTAGAGAGATAGGATGTGGTGGTGTTCACTGGCTTGAGCTGGCTTAGGATATGGACCAGTGGAGTGCTCTTGTGAACACAGTAATGAACCTTCTGGTTCCGTGAAATGTTTGGAAATCATTGAGTAGTTGCACAACTGACGACTTCTCAAGAAGGGCTCAGCTCCATGAAGTTAGTTAAGTCTGCCTGTTGAATGCATGACCCCCCCCTTTCCCAAAGATGCTTTTGACATCCAATACCATTTAATGAATAACAGTTTTATTAAAATTATTTTTGATTTATACAGACAACTGTGAAGTCTACAGTTACAGTTGTTCCAAATGTTGAGCAGGCGCTGGTGCACAGTAAGCCAGGTAACGTGTTGGTGTCTCCTGTGAGTGTGTCCATTCTACTGGCCATGCTGCAGCAAGGGTCCCTGGCACGATCCAGAGACCAGCTAAGTTCAGTGCTACACGTACCACCTGACCGCGCGCGAGAGGGCTATGGGCACATCGTCAGGAGCCTCAAGGTAACTACCCCACCTTGTAATGGAACATCAAAGTAATACACTTCTGAGCATCCCGTCTCATAAGGGTCATATACGTCATCATAAGACTCAGAATAAATTACTCCTATACCATGGCTCTTGCCAATGGATTTACAAAGAAATGATGTTTCGTTAATTCAGAATTGTGACTTGGCTATGGGCTGGATGATGGGAGAATCAGGTTTCAATTACTGGCAGAGGCAAGAGGTTTTCTCTTCACATTTCAGATGTGATCTAGGGCCCATCCAACCTAACAAGTGGGTGCTGGAGGCCTTATTCCACGGGTAAAAAGGCCAGAGCACGAAGGCTGACTACTCCCCTCAATCTGGTGCCGAGGTTATCACTGGGTGGTGCTTAATTAAACAGAGTGACAATTTTCTTTTATCAACGTCATCATAGACCATCAAGGTAAATGACAAAATTAGCACATAATGAGAGCTTGAAGGTAATTATGCATATGTAATGGACATGTCATAACACAACCTCAAAGGAAGGATATTTTGAACGCCTCCTCCTCAAAGCTCATTAGGATGACAATATCAGGGAGGGCGAGATGAAGAATGCATACACAATTTTAGTCAGAAAACCTTAAGGCATAGATCAATTTGGGGATCCAGATGTAACTGTGAGAACAATATCAAGAAGTACTTAAAGAAATAAGGTGAAGGGTGCTGACTGGATTCATCTAGCTCAGGGTAGGGAAGAGTGGTGGGCTCTTGTGAACACTGTAATGAACTTTCAGGATTCTTGGCCAGCCTGATTGCCTATTTGGTTCTTAAGAATGATCAATTTGCATGGAGTTTGTTAGTCAGTTAGTGTGTCATCATGGACCATCGAGGTGTTAATTTTTTTCCCTTTGCTTAATCAATTAAGCACTATGCCACAAAGACATATGGGGAAGTGGAGGTATAGCTCAAACTTTCTTAACCTCATCACTTGATGGAGGTGATTGGTCAGCTTCATGCCTCTGCTACCTTAGCCATTGAGGAAACAGCCCTGAATACCAACTAGATAGGAGGCTGGATGGGCCACAGAGCCAGTTCGGATGATATGAAGAACAGATAAACCTCTTGGCCCTGCAGGGAACCGAATTCCGCTTCTCCAGCCCATAGCCTGGTTACCATACCAGCTGAGCTATCTTTGGTAAATAATACTAAGAACCGAAATTAAATTTATGGCTATTTATTAGTACTTAATAATGATATCTAAGTGGCTCAACTGAGATCAGTCAAGGCAGTTAACTGGTGGGTATTATCGGTCTTTCTGATTGAGATCAATCTGGAATGAGAGTAAAAAAGTACTAAACGCTGGAAGGTCATGGGTTTGATTCCCGATGACATCACTGTATTTCTCTATTGACCTAATCCTCCCAGGTGCACTATGGCCCTGGGGTTCACTTAACCTCTAACAAAA